GCCCCCAGCAAGTGCACGAAGGGCTGGCTCTTCCAGAAAAAGGGAAGTTCTTGTAGCTTTGCATAGAGTTTGTATTAATTTCCCTTAGCCCACCGCAGTGAATAAAGTGTAACTCCAAACTCTCAGAGCGCTGTTTGTTTCTTGTCCGGTTTTTCTGTAACAGTCATATGATTTTTTCTTTTGATCTGTTAATGTAGTGAATTACATTTCTTAGTTTTCAAATGCTGAATCAGCCTTGAGTTCTGGAAAATCCTACTTTATACAAATCTTTAAAATATATTGCTGTATTCAAATCTCTGATATTTGGTCAATGAATGATACAGCCCTTTTAGATAACAGATTTTCATTAACTATTTGAAAATGCTTCTGTGTTTATTCTATGCTAATCTGGTACAGGCACTTGTAGGCATTTGTGTCTAACAAATTTTTTTAACAATTGTACGCAGCAATTTTATTTTAATTCCCTTTTTTTGTCTTTTTTTTTTTTTTTTTTACAAATTAGCTAACTTATAATCAGATAATATACACAATTTTTTAAGGTCCCTCACATACTAACCCAGAGAGCTAAGACCTGAAGCTCAGTTGTCTGGCTCTATTAGTAGATTCTTTTGTTGTTATTATTAATCATCTCTGGATAATATTTATTCTGTAGATTTTTTGAGAAAGTAGGAGGGGTTTGGAGATAAAGAGAAAACATAAATGTGAGAGACACATGGATTTGTTGCCTTTCCCAGATGCCCTACTAGAGGCTGGGGAATCAAATCTGCAACCCAGGTGTGTGAGCTGGATGCAGGATCAAACCTAAACACTTGAGTGCATGGGCTGATGCATTAACCACTGAGAAAAACCGGACAAGCTTGGCTCTGGAATCTTACTAGTAAGACTAAGCTGTCATTATCATTTTAGAGTTTACTTTCCTTTTGAGACTGGATCACAGAAATCTGAAACAAGCTGAATTTCCAAAATAAGTGCAATTTAAGTGTGTGAATAAAACTAGCCACAGACTGGTTTGTATATACTTCAACTAACTATGAAAGCTCTGGTGTAGCGAAAAAAGAAGGATGATATAATAGTGACCCTGAGATTGTTCTGTGGTCCTAGCTGTGACTCTCCAATATAGCTGCATGTTATTACCATCTTAGAAACTTTAAAAAAATACTGGTTACTAGGATCTCATCTAAAAAATTGAATTGCAACCTCAGGGAAGGAACATGGGCACAGGTATTTTATAAAATTCTCCATGTGCTTCTCATAGCTATCTATGTTTTAAAACTAGGGAGTTTCCACACATATTTGCAAATTGTACTTTCTGACATTCTTATCCTGCCTTATCTTCTGATCCTACATAGCTCCCTTGCTTAGAAAGACTTCATGTCTTACTTATTTTAGGATCTATAAACATACTTATCATTTTCACGCCTCCCCATTCATTATGCCCATCAGATAAAATTGTCCTCTAAACTGTAGGATTGGCTTTGATGACTTCTCTGTGTGGCAACATCCCAGTCACTGCCAGGACATATAATCTCTCTGTGTCCTTTTTCTCCTGATATTTCTTTTCCTTTAGCAGTATTTAAAATAAACTACTCAACATAGTGGAGTTAGCTGAGGTTGCACAGATAAACAAGACATCCTCCCTTTGTACTGTGTCTTCTTGAGGTGGGTAACATGGGACACACATTATTGTGGGTGGGTTTTTTTGTATAGTATTGCTGTCAGGACTACTTCAGCTCTGGTCCTTCTGGGAATAATTGTCCTGGTTCTCTGAAGGATAAATTGAGCATTCAAAATGCATGTATTCTTAAATGCTACAGGAGATAGTTTCATTGAGTTTTTCCCTATATGTACCACTTAATATGCTTACTTTTAATTGATTTGGGTGCAGAAGGAAAAAGGGGAACAGTCTTCCCTATGAAAAGTAAAGGGGTTTAGCCCTGTATGACTCAGCTGTGGGAGTGTCAGCCTCTCCTTCTCCCAAGAAGGTTCCCTAGTTTGATTTCTTGTCAAGGACAAGTACCTAGTTTACAGGTTCAACCCTGTCACTGGTCTGGGTACCTGCAGGATGTCTCTCCCTCTTTCTGTAGTTCCCTCTTTCTCTCTCTCCTTCCCTCCTACCCTCCATTCCTTCCTGTTTCCCTCCTTCCCTCTACCTCTATTCCTCCCTTTCAATCTCTGAAAAGCAATGAAAAAATAATCTTTGGATAGGAATTTATTTAAAAAGTATGGTATTTAATGGTATTCACCCTTCCGCAGGTTTCTCCTATCTTATCACCTAGGAGTTTTAAAGTTTGCATTTTATATTAGGTTTGTGCTTCATTTGGACTTAATTTCTGTGATGGGTATAATGTCTGTGTTTACGCTTATTTTATTGGATGTGGATATCCTGTTGTTTAGGCACTATTTTGAGAAACTATCTTAGCCTCATTGTAATACCTTTGATCATTTGTCAAAAATCAGTTATGAATATTTAAGGGGGTCTGTTTTGGGATCTCTGTTTTGTTGAATTAATCTCTGTTCTGTTGAATTATCTTGTCTTCTGTTCTGCCAAGGCCCAGTCTTGATTATTGAGTTACTTATAGTGACTCTTGAAGTTGAGTAGCATCAATCCTCCAACTCTTTTCTTCTCCTTCAATAATCTCTGGCTATTCTGTTTTTGTTATTTCCCTTTCCATATAAACGTTAGAACTGGTTTAATAGCAGCCACACAGTAACTTGCTGGGATTTTGATTGGGACTGTTTGGAATCTATAGGTCAACTTGGGAGTAACTGACATCTTGACAGCAAGGAGTCTCCCTATTCAGGAACATGAAATATCCCTCTGTTTATGAGTCCTCAGGCCAGTTAACATAAAATCAATACCTCATGCTTCAGCACATTTGGTTTGAACTATTTTTGTCAGCCTGACTATACAGACTCTATTTTAAGTGAGCTGGGCTATACTGACTTGATCTCGTTTTCTTCACTTATTCCTCAGAGAAAATGATTCAATATAAAATTTATTTAGTGCATTGTACTGTGTAGTCTCAATTTCACTCCTGAGCTTTCTTTCTCTTATGATCTTATTATTTCCACGTTGTACATGAGCCTAAGTTCAAAGCTGACTGCCTAATATATATCTGGGAGCTTTTTAAATATTCCTGGTGGTGAAATTGTACTATAGCTTTATGAGATGTCCCCTTGGGGGAAATTAGTTAAAAGGAACATGACAACTCTCTGTACTATTACTTACAGCTTCATGAGACTCTCCATTTTTCTCAAAATAAAAAGTTTTATAAACCAAATCTCCAATAGAGTCTAATGTGCTCCCCGTGTGGCAAAATACTAATGGCCTATATATGGGTGTAATTACAGTTTCCAAAATTTATTCTTCTCTTTCTTGCTTTGATTCTTCTTCCTTTCCAACACAATAACTTGAAAAGCTTTCACATCTCTCCTCCATTTTAGGGTTTTAAAGCACTGTTTATTACTTTATCCCCACCCCATACTTCTGATATCATAAAATTATCCCTAACCTCTTGCTGAGGGAAGGCCTATTGAGAAATATCTGAGTGGCATCTCTCACAAGCTGTTTTACACAGAAAACCTCTGCCTTATGTTATTATGAGCCATGTATTTTAACCCCGTCAAGCTCCTCATCAGCAAGCCAGTAAAGGGGACTCCCCAGCTGGGTGAAGGTGGTTGACAAAGAAAGGGGAACAAAATAGACACCTTTTCTAGAGCTGTAAGCCTCAGGTTCTACTGCCTCCTGTTTCAGGGAGGTTGGGTGGGGAGTCTATGGGCTGGCCATGGTGTGCAGCATTGCTGTGAGGCCTGCTCCAGGTCAGTCCTTCCTAAATGTTGCTATATTCTGAGGAAAAACGGAGATTCTATTTCTATATTTCCTTAATTGGTGTAAGGTTTCTGTGGGCTGAGCTATGGTTTGGAAATGAACAGCTCCTTCTTAAGTGTGATGAGAACGTGTCCTGGGGTTTCTCTCAAGTCTTTATGAGGCCTCCTGTTCACATGTATGATGCCTTGATCCTGTGAGTTTGTGCAAAGAAAAAAGGGAAAGTCCAATATATTTAGGAATCTAGGGGAGTAGCAGGTCCTTTGCTTGTAGGAAACTTTCACTTATAAGTAGGAAATTTGTCTCTGTGTCATATGTTGTAAACATTCCTTTTGGGTTTTTTCTTCAGAGTTGATAAAATGTCTTTCTTCTCATCATGTATCAAAATTATTTTCATCACTGCCTTGGCATTTCCTCTTTACTCTGGTGAGTACATTTCAATTCTGGATGAAGCTATTCCTATATCTTAGAAAGTGCAGGAGACTTCTATTATCTTGAAATGGAGCATCTTCTTTTATTGGGTATGTAATATTTTAACTGGCAAAATGAAAGGGGGTAAGTTAAAGAGCCCTTTAAGAAATTACATCTGTGGATTGCTTTTTCTCTTTTCCATTCCTCTATCAGTGGACTCTAGAGCAATGGAAGCAAAGAGGTGGGTTTGAATGAGCAGAACTTAGCTATTTGTTCATTTATGACAAAAAATTATTTACCTTATTTACTATTATATTTTGGAGGTCAGATTCTGTTTGCTAAATGCAGAGTATAGGCAGTAATGATGTCTACTAGATCTGACATTCCTGGCAATCTGATTTGTTGTATGCCAGTTCTGAGGCCATTAAAGTAAAAACTTTGTGTGAGGGGAGAACTCAATCATCCCTCACCTGGAAATTTATCTCTCTTTAGTGCAAAGAGACTGAAGAATTTGAGTAAAGTAGTTGTAATGTGTTAAACAGATCATGGATATTAGAACTAATTACTATTTCTTTAAGTCGTAATTAATTTCTTCAAGTTAGATGACTTTATGCAAGGCATATTAGAGACATTAAACAAGCCAATGTCTTCTCTGACTAGAATGTCTCATTTATTAAAAAATGAATTAAAAGAAACATGGTATCTTCACAAGAGATTGGTCATTGCAGCACAACACTTAAACGTATTTTTCACAGATAAGAATAATTTAGAATTACATTTCCAGATTTGGAGTTATTTTGTGAGCTGACTGTTTAGATACTACCACAAAAGGCTCATCTCAGAACCTGGAGGTACTCAGTAGGCAATATGTGTAGTATTTTGCTATTAAAAGTTATAGGTTCTTCTCAGAGACTCTGATTGTTTTCCTATTCTTTTTATTTTTACATTTTCTTTTGTGTGCTCGTTGCAGGAAATTCTCTTGCACTTGCAAGACGCGTGCGCAAACCGGTAAGTTTAATTTTGATTAATTTTAAAATTGAAAAGGTGAAATTTTATTGTTCCATATTATAGGTTTTAATGGGAAATTTCATCAAACAGCCCTGTCAGTGTTGCTCAGTGGTTAACCTTCCACCCATTAAGCACGAGGTCCCTAGTTCACTTCCTGGTCAGGGCACATGCCCAGGTTTGGGCTAAATCCCCAGTAGGGGTATGCAGAAGGCAGGTAATGGATGTCTCTCTCTCTCTCTCATTGACATTCCTATCTATCTATGCCCTCTCCCTACCTCTTTAAAAAAATTCACGAAAAAAAATGTGTAAAAGAGTAATTCTTCAAAAAATTTTTTTAAAACTGTGCCATTATTATGCTAGATTAAATGAAATTAAGCCAGCCTAAAAAACTATTTGGTATTTTGGACAAGATAAAAATAACCTATTATTTCAAAGATTCCATTATTGGGTATCCTTGTTATTTGCAAGCATCTAATAAAGGTTACAGTGCATTTAAAGTAGAATTGTGGCCCTAGCTGGTTTGGCTCAGTGGACAGTGTGTTGATCTGAGGACTAAAGAGTCCCAGGTTTGATTCAAGTCAAAGGCACATGCCCAGGTTTCAGGCCTCTTTCCCCAGGCGATCCTGCTGGAGACAGACAACCAATGATTCTCTCTCATCTTTGATGTTTCTCTCTCCCTCTCCCTCTCCCTTCCCATTTGGAATCAATAAAAATATTGTTTTAAAAAAGGAATTCTGCCTCAATACTGTAACTTAGATTCGTACTTGAATTTCTAACTTGCGCTGTGTAGTCTCCACCACTGTATGAGCCATTAGTTAAAATCTCTTTCTGTCTCTTCTTTAAGAAATAAATAAAAGAAAAAGAAAAAAATAAGTAGAATCATTTAGCCTAGCAAAACAAGAGGATTACAAATATTATTCACTTAAAGGTGGATAAATTAATAATTTTCATATATTTACAGAGCAGAATATTATATAGAGGGAAGAAACATCTAAATAGTTAAAGTTTACAAAGACATTTTTAAAGCTGGTATATCAGAATGTATGTCATTTTTTTAAATTAGGTAAATTACCAAAACTGACATTACTACCCAAATTTTATATACCTAGGCAAATACAGTGGGGCCTTGACTTATGAGTGTCCCGACTAACGAGTTTTTCGAGATACAAGCTGTCTCTCGGCCGATTTTTTGCTTTCAGTTGCGAGCTAAAATTCGGGTTACTAGCAAGCTCCAGACACCCCACCATTAGTTGGTGCAGCGAAAATCACAGTGCATGCCACAACATCAGCCCAGTATCACCTGTTTCACTTGTTCACAACTGCTTTGACATACGAGTAATTTGAGTTACGAGCTCCGTCATGGAACGAATTAAACTCGTAAGTGAAGGCCCCACTGTACTAATGTATTGAATATGTACATCTATGCTGATAATCTCAATGTATCTGATACTCTAATAGTGAAATCATTGAGAAATATAGGGAAAATATTAAAATTTCATTTACTACACCTTGTGGCATGAAATAATGGGAAAATCTGATGCAGGTATGAGGAGAAGTGCAACAAGAGTGGGCAATTTATAAAAATACATTCAGACATTTGTCTGTATTTTATAAATGATTCAGGGTTTGTAAAAATGTATCAATAATATTTTATGACTAAGTGGGAATTATTTCCAAACCTCATTATAGATTTTCATTCCATTTGGATGCATGGCATCTTGTACTAAGGTTAAAGAACATTTTATTGAAAAAGTTCATTACCTGACAAATTTTATGTTCTTCTTTATGTTTAACAGCCAAACTGTGATGCATATAAGGGTCGATTATTTACTTGCTCCAACCGTGTGGATCCAGTCTGTGCAAACAATGGTCGTACTTACTACAATGGATGTGTTTTCTGCGCTGTAATGTTGTAAGAACACCAAATAATGAAGAAACCATCACAAATGATAGGAAAACCCAAGTTTCTGAGAAAGAAACACTACTTGACTACAGAAATTTAAAATCCATCAAATGGGCCTATTCATGCTAGAGGGTATCCTCTGATTTTTGTCCACCTTGTCTTTTGAGCTCCATGACAGTCTGCAAACCTTCTTTAGAGAGTAGGGCATTCCAGGTCATTTCCACCCAAGCTCGTTTTCTATGTCCTTCACTCCAAGGAGTTTGCAGTCTAATGGTTCAGCCAGCCTTCGCAGCTCCCTCCTCATTTTCTCTCAAATTTATTTCCTCTTATTTGATCCGAAAATTGGCTTCTACTTCTAGAGAATCATTCAAACAATCTCCAATCCTATCCTCTCTCCAGTATGAGAGGGTTCCGAGACCGATCCAGGACTGAACACGTAGGAAGAGTCAAGTAGCCCAGATGAGGGAAGGATGTGTGCAGGGCTGGGGAACACATGGGTCCCAGCTGCTGGCTGAGGTGGAGCACAGCCTCTTCACAATGGGCACTTAATGCAATACCCAGGTAATTTTAAATGCTGCTTATAACAATTTCTCTTTCTCTTTTTTTCTTTACAGAGACACTTATATACCATTTAAATTTCACCATTATGGGAGATGCCTGGATACTTAGGGCAATCCTATTTTGCAGTGGATTCTACAGCCAATCAGAGACTTTTCAATCAGGGAGTTAAATTCCTAGGTGATCAGACAAAGCCTTCTATTCTATACAAGATGGAAAATAGAGTGTTTAAAATTGTCTCTCACTACTAAGAACTTCTGATTTTCATTCTCTGTTCAATAATTAAATAGCAGTTGAAAAACTATCTTAATCATGGGTTTGATAATATAACACATAATAGAATTTATAATCGTAAATATTTCAATCAATAGAATTTTAAATTATATTTTCATTTTTCAAAATACCACCTTGCAACAAAAAATGCTGGCAGAGTAAGTGGATGCTTCGTGGAGATGCTCCCAGGAACAAACTGAAATTACGACTAACATACAGAAAAACTTCCTGAATAATCAATGCAAAACAGGCAGAAGACAACCTGAAGACCCGAAGACCGAAAGTGGAGACCGCATAGCAACGGGTAGGAGGGGTGGAGGTGTGAAAGCTCTGGCCAGGCACCCACAGACTGCAATTGAAGTCCTGGAGACATATACCAGCTGTGGATGATTGCCAGTGAGAACTCTGAGATCTAATCCCCAAGCTGTGCCCCCACCACCAGCAGAGAGCACAAATACTAACAAGGGTACCCATATAACATCTGTCTATGAAAAGAAGCAGGGTGCTGTCTGCCAGGGAGTGACAAACCAAAATTCTGGCACCCTCTTAAAGGGCCATTGCACAAAATGTCCTGTGAAGTCACCCACCTGTGCTCTGGGAGAGAGAGGGTAAAGTGAACTGGAGCTGTGAGAGTAGAAGCCAGGCCTGGGGACTAGAGAGTATAGCTCAGAAGGCAGACACCCCAAGTTTCCTGGTCTGAGTCATTCTCTCACACAGCAAAGGACATCTTTTCCACATATTTCCCCCTTGCCTGGGGGGAAGATAGTTGATACACCTTATTGGAAAACACCTTGCCCTGAGGTCATTAAGAGATAAAAAATATAAAATAGCCTGCAGGAAGAAACAAATACCCTCTAGCCTGTTGAAAAACTCTCAACACACAAGAGGATGATTGCCTGGGGGGCAATTCAAGTTGGAATCCTATCAGTCTGTAGACAGAGGGGGTCTCTGGAGGCTTTGAGTCTTTGCCTGACCTAATTAGTCAGAAACAGTCTTTAACCCTTTGCAGTCCAATGTTACTTTTGGAATTCAAACAGTCTGGTCCAAATCAATTAAGGGGATTAAATGTTGAAGTTTTTAATGTTCTTATTGCTTGACATTGGACCTGCTCCTAGCACGTGGTCTGTCGAGTCAGCCTCGAGGTTGGACCGAAAAGGGCTAACACTGTCCTGCACTAGAGATTGAGAGGTGTAGAGGGTATACCTAGTACATAGTCACAAACCCAAACTGACAGCCAAAATGAGACAAGAAACAACCCCCAGATAAAAGAACCAGATAATTCTCCAGAAGAAAAGTTAAATGAAGCAGAGGTAAGAAATACAACTGAACAGAGTTCTGAGTAATGATTGAAAAGATGCTCAACAGCATAAAAAAATGATATAGTAACTATGAAAAAAAAACACCATCTGAGATAAAGAAAGACATAATGAAAATAAAGAACATTGGAAGGAATACACAACAGATTAGGGGAAGCTGAGTATTGAATCTCTGAATTAGAAGACAGAGTTGAAAAAATCAATCAGAGAACCAAAAAGAAAAAAAACAAATTAAAAAACAAAAGGAAAATTTAAGGGAGCTGTGGGACAACATGAAACATAACAATATTAGAATAGTGGGTGTGCCAGAAGAGGCAGAAAGGGAGAAAGGAATAGAGAATGTGTTTGAAGAAATGATGGCAGAAAACTTCCCTAACCTGGTAAAGATAAAAGTCACACAAGTTCATGAGGCACAGAGAACCCCAACCAAGAAGAACCCAAACAGGCCCATGCCTAGACACATCATAATTAAAATGCTGAAAATCAAGGAAAAGGAGAGAATCTTAAAGGCAGTAAGAGAAAAGAAAACTGCTACGAACAATGAGTTCACATGAAGCTGACACCTGATTTTTCATCAGAAAATCCATAGGCTAGAAGGGAATGGCATGGAGTACTCAAGGTAATGGAAAGCAAGGATCGGAGACTAACATTACTATATCTAATAAGACTATCATTCAAAATAGATGGGCAAATAAAGAGCTTCCCAGACAAAAAAACAAAAGGGTAAAGCAGTACATCACCACGAATCCAGCATTACAAAAAATGCTAAAGGACTGCTGTAATGAGTAGAAGAAACAGAGAGAGAAACCTAGCCATACTGAATTAAAATGGCAATAAATAAGTACCTATCAATAATAACGCTAAATGCAAATGGATTAAATGCTCCAATCAAAAAGCATCGCGTAGGTGAATGTATACAAAAACATGACCCAACTATATGCAATCTACAAGAGATCCATATCAAAACAAAAGACACACAGAAGATATGAATGCACAGGAAAAAACTTTCCATGTAAATGGAAAAGAAAAAAAATAAGATGGAGTAGCAATACTGATATTCAACAAGCAGACTTTAAAAAAAAGGCCATCATAAAAGACAACAAAGGTCACTACATAATACTAAAGGGATCAATCCAACAAGAGGATATAACCCTGGTAAACATATACGGACCTAATATAGGGCAACCTAAATATATAAGAAAAGTTCTGGGGGACTTTAACAGAGATTGATAACAATACAGTCATAGTAGGGGACTTTAACCCTCCTCTGACTTCACTGGATAGATCTTCCAGACAAAAACTTAACAAGGAAACAGAGACTCTAAAGGACACAATGGATAAGATGGATTTAATGGACATTTATAGAATACTAGAGGCCCGGTGCACAAAATTAGTGCACTAGCATGTGGGGGGGGTGTCCCTCAGCCCGGCCTGTGCCCTCTCACAGTCTGGGACCCCTCGGGAGATAACGACCTGCTGGCTTAGGCCTGCTTCCGGGTGGCAGAGGGCAGGCCCAATCCCTAGGTGCAGCCCCTGTTTGGGCTCAGAACAGGGCCGATTGGGGAGTTGGGGCCCTTCCCCCTGTCATGCACAGAGAAGGGAAGATCAGGGGGTTGGGGTGCCTTCCCCTGTCACACACAGAGCAGGGCAGATCTGGATGTTGCGGCA